CTACACATTCCACATCACAGAGGCATGTAATCGCCGAGCAGCGGTTTCACGTAAATCATCCCACAAAGACAATCGCGGTATTAAAAACAATCACACGGGATGCTATCGCTAGTCGTACGGATGGCCTACACATGATAGCAGAAATCCTTGTAAGTCCATTGGTATAACAACTTACATATATTGCCCTGCGTGAATACGGACCCCTCAATCACAACCTGTATGCATCCGACGCTGCCGCCTATGGCATTAAGCTGGTTGATCGAAGCAGCGGAGGATGCATTGCCGTAGGTGTTCAGTGATTACTACAACACCCTTTCAAAGAGTGTTAGGCAATGATGTAACCGGCAATCAGTTACCTAAAGCATGTAGCATAGAGAGATTGTGTCAGGGCTCACTAAGATACAGCATGAGAGTCCTCACTGGGGCCATTTAAGCACGGACTTTCACATAGCTCAGCACCCTTTTCTGTTGCGAATGTGCAACGTTCACACCTACCGAATGTAAGGGAAATCCCAAGGGAAAGGTTTACGAGGCAGCACTCAATTTGCCGTCATTTGAAGCTCTAAAGCGCCACAACGTTAAGCACCTCAAATTTAACTTACCCGCAGCAGTGCATACATGTATACGCCGGCTCACCATGGTATCCAGCACAATTTTTCTGGAACCAGCGCCCGCATACGTCGCAACTTATCCAATCCTCTTGCTCTTAGCTCCCGGAGTCATCACCCTCTTGCTGACACAGAGCGCAGCACGCGCTGTCTGCATGTTCACCCCCGTCGCCCCACTTGTACGCCAAGTGTTTTTGCGGTGACGAGCGGAGGTTCTTGTTTCCAGGATACCGTATTTCATTTGTTGTGATAAATAATGCAGGGACCCGCAACCTCCACCAAGCGGGGTATCAAGGGTGACTTCCGTTTGTGACGTCTACAGCCATTTTACATACCCCTCGAAACACCATGACTGGAACGCTAGAAATATTCCTTGCGTGTTCCTTCTTGAGCGGAAATGTCAAGGTGTTTGAGGTCTCGGTAGATCTAAAACCTTACACCCGAAACACACCCTAGTCAAAGAAATACTGCCACGTTCCCTGCACTAGCAGACCACACCGTGTAGGTCACGTGCAGTAAGAAAGAAACAGAAAGAAAATGGACAATAAAGGGGAGTGAAAGTCATTTACACGAGGGCTAACACCAACGAGTACAGAGAATGACAGCATACAAACTAAAACTTGGAAGCTGGATATGGTCAGGCGAAGGGAAAGGTTTCGTGTTGCCAGCAAAGAGCGTCTAACTGACGCTTGAAACCCTAAATCGTAAGCTCACTAGCTACACTTTCTGGAAACGAGTTCCAGCGTTCGACAACTCTACGCGATAGTCGAGTTTTCGCCCTGTTCCGGTCAGAACGCGGCTTGTGTAGCTACATGAGATGACCGAGAAGACAAGTCAACCTAGCCTGGCTAACGTCCGGTCCAACCTTCCCTGTTAAACTGCGTTACATAAAGATTAGGTCTCCTCGAAGCCATCGATAGTGCATTGAATACATACCCAAGCTAAGTAGATTGTCCCCTTAAACACCTCGACCAATTTGGTACCTACTCTCAAAGCCTTCGAGCCCCATTTTGTCCCAAACAAGGCACAGAGGGTAATCCTGGACGCAGTATTCCAGATGGGGCCGAAAGAGAGCAGAGCACAGATTCACAAATATGTCGGCAGTTAAGACCCCGAAAGAACGGCGTATTAACCATAACATTCTGAAACCCTACTAGCGGCCTTCTTCCAGTTGTCCCAGACTGCAAAGACGAGGAACGGACAACGCCCAGATCTACCTGGTTGGAGACAAGGGGGAGTTTAACCCCACCGAGTAAGTAGTTCGAAGAGGGAAGTTGCTCCTATACGAAGGTCGGAACAATTAGTCTGATTAATGGTCAGTAGCCACAAAGTAGACCAGTCCCAGAGTCTGTCCAGGGCATACTGTATGGCCTCAGAACCCCCAGGAACATTTACAATATTCCACAGCTTAAGGTCATCAGCAAACAATAGGGATGATACTCCAAGCTCTCCAGGGTGATCGTTTACGTAGATGGAGAACAGCATCGGTCCAAGGACCGAGCCTTGTGGGACACCGCTAAGGACCGCTTGCTTAAAGGATAAGCTGCGAACTACACGTACACACTGCTCTCTTCCCTGCAAGAACGCAGATATCCAGTGAAGGGCGCGACCAGATACGCCGTAGGACCTCAGCTTTTGTGATAGCCTCAAGCGGGGTACCTTATCAAATGCCTTCGAGAAGTCTACGAAAAGCACATCCACCACGTGGCCATTGTCCACTGCCTCGGTCCAAGCTTCACAAGCAACCAACAAATTCGTCAAACAAGAAAACCCCTTCCGGAATCCATGTCGTGCACTACTGAGTAGATTAAATCTATTCAGGTGACATTCCAACGAAGCTTTCACCAGCTTTTCAAGCAGTTTGACCACGACGCTAGTCAGACTAACTGGCCTATAATTGGCTGACAGACTCCTGCCGCCATTCTTGAAGACAGGGCAGATGACAGCCTCCTTCCATTCAGAAAGTAATGTATGCTGTCAAGTGACTTCTGAAACACTATCGTCAGCGGTTCACTTACCTCACCGCCAACTCATGCAGCAGCATCGGGTGAATTGAAGCAGGTCCAGCTGCTTTGGAAGGGTTCAGTTCTTGCAGCAGTTTAAGGACTTGCGTTTCCACCACAGTAAGCTCAGCTAAATAAGAACCCTCAGGTATACTGGGGACAAGTTCAACGAAAGTCAACGGGGCCTCACGTACAAAAGCCCTGCATACTGCTCCCAAGTGCACGAGCGTTATCTGAGACAGCATTCGCACAAGTCCGACAGCTCGCACCAAGGTTAACCTTACGGAACTTGCACTACAGCGTCTCTTAACGTAAGTGAAGTACTACTTCGGATTTTCCGAAGCTCCATCAGCCAATTCCTTTTCGTACGACAGCCGAGCAGGTTCCTGCCAGTTGTATCTATCCATGGCGGGCGCGCTCATGTCTACTTTCTCCTCGCAAGAGGGATGTACGGAGTAGACACTTCTGTGAGATAAGAATTAAATTTATCTTAGGCCGCCTAAACCGTATCAACCACCGATGGCTTGATATCACGCCGTATGTTTGGAACTGGCTTAGCTGTGCTCCGGTGAGTCCTGGTCAGAATACACCTGAACGATTAAAAAACATGCTCAATGACACCTAAGGGAGAGCTGTAAGTGCTGTCACCTACGAAGTCTAGTGACTTGGCAAAAACTAGATTCAAAACAGGCGGTAGTTGGGCATCCATGTACCTATTGGGGAGGTCCAAGAACAGATGCAACGGTACTTGTAGCGTAAGCTCAAGGAGATCTGCACCGGAAGTACCTTCCGCCGAGTTGCAAGAAAGATCCACCCAGCCAACTTCTGGTGGATTGAAATCCCCCAGTATCCAACACCTGTTTGCGGATTGGGAGCGAATACAGTCCAGCACCACTTTGGACGCACTCTCAGGGCATCTACACACAAGTACAACTGTAGGTTGAGCTAAGAAGTGCTAATCAATACAGACAGAGCTTCTATATTTTTGTCGGCCGACTGAAACATGTAGGCACGTAAAACGTCAAGTCCACAGCTAACGTAAAGCGCAGCGCCTCGCCTTGTCGGCCAACGAAGCGATCATATCTACATTGCGCGTAGTTAGACAGATGTACTTACGGTCCGTGATGTCTCGAGACAGGCACGTTTCAGTGAATGCAAATACATGAGGAGGAGACCCATTTAACAGCAGACCTATCTCGCACACCTTATTCCTTCGGCTCCGCCCATTGCTTAGCACTACCTGAAAGTACTCTTAATGTCCAGCCCTGGGTCGTGCGCTACCAGCACTGGCACTGGTAGGTCGGAAGCACACCGCCGGCTGACCACCCAAATATCCACCAACCGGAGACTTTGTTCACCGGCCGCGCGCCTGGTTTTGAGGTCTTTGATGGCCTCTTTTAGCTTCACCCTATCCGCCAATGGGAGATCTGGCTGAACGCTAACATTAGTATCCTACAACTTGAGGGCAAACCGCAACAGCGCGTTGCGTTCCTCCAGGGTGAATAGGACTACACGAAGAAAGCTCGATCGAGGGTTTGGGGCGTTAACTGGGACGTTACCCAATCAACTCAGTTTTCTGACCATTGCTACGCAACAGCTGCGTAACCTCCTCAACTTTCGTGGCACAAGCGCTATGATGATGCCGCCGTATGTCATACAAATCGCGCCTTGTTAAACGCATGTTACATTGAACACTGACAAATGCACGCATCTCATGCGTGCGACGAAACGTCTTCATTAACGTAAGCACCATGCTTTCCTGATCCGCTGTTAGCCGCCGATTTCCGCCTTACAGTCAAGGCTTCCCCACTTGAAAACTGTGCGAATGCCAAAGACAGGCGTTTCCAAACTCCTAACATTTCTCCATAAACACCGCTGAGGACCGCGCAGGACAATTGTAACACCGTTACCTGTAAAAATATATGCATCATGCGGATACGCAGCATTTACCGCTTTCCAGCAACATTCGTGTGCTTACTATGCACGCACACAAACTGAATATATAGGTACTGGCATCTTTCCGGTAGCACCTGTCCAGTCTCTCAATGGTAAGCTTTCGAAGTTTTAACGCTCCGACGAATGAACGATGTCGCCGTTTCCATCTGAAAAACTTTCAGATCCTCATTCATCGATGAAAAGTCCACAAATGGACCCCTGAAGATACGTCGGAATGCACAAGTTATCCCACCATGCTTGCATTCACTCGAAGCGGGAAAAGGATTAACCACCGTAACCCATTTAAACCGTACACTTTATTGATTTCTGATTCACCTCTTAGCATGTTAACAACGACGTTAACATAATAATAAACACATACATGCGTCTGAAGGTCCACAACTTTCATTTATCAACATACGACCTTGTGTACCACAATTACACTGCCAAAAGTTCATTGGTCGCGATTGACGGATCCGACGCTCGGTCGTTTTCGTCGTTCATCATTACGGAATGGAGGCTTTGCAGCCATGGTATGTCAGACATGGAGCAAAGGTGCTAGGCATCATAACCGCGTTCAGTGAGTTCAAACCAGTTTTATTTAATTCTTTTAATAGTGTGTTTCATTTGTGGGATTACGGCAATGATCTCAGTGTCCATTGGCTGTATTATCGGTGGAGTACTGTTAATGTGAGTTGTACCGGCTTTATTGTCCATCAGCCGTGCGTTGTTTAGATTTTTATTCTTAATTATTAGTCTTGTGCGCTGTAATTCACGAAAAATTTCCTCTATTTTGACCGCTGGCTTATTTCGTGCGATGATGGTCTCTTTTACATTAAACGAGTTATAAATAAGCAAATAAATAGGTTATTCTCAAATTTATGGACAGCAAATCGAGCATGATCACACATGTTTAAACGCAAGAATCGGGTCGTTCATTTAAATCACTTATCATTGTGACATCACTCAAATTTATCAGGATTTCTTTGATCCATCTCAACACCCATTTCCTGAAATGAACTGAATTGCGGTATTAAAGCGCGAAGCGGGATCGGTACGCTTTAGAACAAATACGCGGATATAAGGCCAACCTCCGGTGAGTGGAGAACACCAAAGGTAACGCTAGGAAAAATTTATTAAGTGGGCGAAAGGCTATCTAGTGCTAAAAATAAGGCACCGAAAGATAGCTAGCTAGGGAAAAGTATGGTCGCGTGCGCGGAGAGCAAAGATGGCCGCTGAGCCGAGGAGCGTCGCGCCGTTCGAAGGCGGATGCTACGTTGACTCAAACAAACGCGAGCAACGTTCAAGCAGGCGAGCGGCTAATTTGCTATGTACATCGAGAAAATATAATTTTGTGATTTTGTAATATTTTACGCAGCATGCGGCAGCCAAACAGGGGAATCTCCTGGTCACTACAGTATTACTTGTCCCGCAATGTGAACCGAAGCGACATCGCATTCTAGTTAGGTCTGGTAGGACGGACGATAGACTTTCGCCTAACGAGCGTCCAGTTTCTTGTGCCGGTATGCGAAGCTGCACCCGACACTTCGACTTTAGATTGACTCTTCATGCATCTGCAACAGAATGAAGCAAGAGCAAGAGCGATCTTTACACTTTCATACGTCAGTGTCAAAATACGCTGTATATTCCGGCACAATTACAATATCGGAAGAGGACAGACCAACACTCATCTAAGCCTTTTTTGTAGGCTTCTATAGACACATTCCACCAAATCAGAAGTTTATTCCATATGTTAACTACTCGGTTCGTAAAAAATTTTGCCCTGGTGTCCAAACGAACTCTATACTGTTTGTGCTTAAGGTGATGCCCGCGCAGGTGTTCCGATATAGCTCACGCAAACAGTTGGATGGGACTAATACCACCAAGTCCCTTAGTGATCTTAAACATCGCTATCAAATCCCCTCAACCTACGCCGTTCCAATGAAATAGCCCCAAGCTACTTAGACGATCTTCGTGCGACTTCCCTCGACCTTCAATCATCCTAATCACAAGTTTCTGAGTCTTTTATACCCACGGCGTCACTACGGATATTCGTTGCTCAGGCCTGAACACAAAACTCCAGATGTGGCCTAACCACAGCTTTATATAACAGCAAGGATACTTCTGCTTTCGTGTCACTCAGCGCCCTCCTAAGACAACTCTTGTCGCGCTTTATTGTCAGCATGGTGACACTGTGCCGGAGGCTTAAACTTATTCACTATGATGATACCTAGATCGCGACCTTCATCAGTACATTGCAATGATAGAGATCCCGCAGGAGACTGTACTGCAATTCCACTACCACTATTGGACAATAGTTGACATTTATTGGCATTCAGAGGTAGATCCCATCGGCTCGACCAATTCACCGCAGTGATGATGTCCTTAGCCAATGTCGCTCGGTTTCCTCTACTGTCTAGCTTTAAGTCATCTGCGAAGATGTAGCAGGGATCTTCAAAAAGAGGAGTCAGGTCATTTATCAACATAAGAAACAACCTTGGACCCAGTACCGAAGCTTAGGAAACACCGCTGTAGGCATGGCCCACGCTAGAACTCGCTTCCCCAACCCTGACTCTGAATGTCCTTCCACGTAAGAATTCAGAGAGCCACAGTAATAGCTGAGGATGCAGTCAAAACCATGTCAGTTTCTCAATTAAAAATCGATGGTTCACTGAGTCAAAGGCTTCATTGAAGTCCAAATAGCACACCTCTACCGATATCCCACTATCAGGAAATCAAGTAATCTCGTTTAAAAAGCAGTAAATTGGTAAGACACGACTTCTTTTTAAGGCCATGCTGTTCCGCCCTAATTAGATTATGCTTTGTCAAGTGCTCACAAGCACTTCAGCATGATGCTGGTCAAACTAACAGGTCTATAGTAAGGAAGCACCGACTTAGAACCCTCCTTGTGGATGGCAACAATAGTCGTCTCAAACACGTAGCAGCTTGCCTTCTTGAAGAGACTGGTTGCATAACTCCGCGACAGGATACTGAAGGATATCAGCCAGTGGCTTAACCATGGCGGCATGTGCACTGTCAGGACCAGCTGATTTATAAGGATTCAAACTGTGAAGACCTCTGGCACATTGAGAATAATTTCCCGCATTGTGTAGCTACTTGAACAGTGCGGGTGTGATGGCAAGGCTGACCGACTATCCTTCCGATGCAGATTTTGGTAGACACGTAGCAGCGCTTCTACTTTATCGACGTCTACAGATTGGTTGCCGTCCTCCATGGTTAGGCAGCCGACCACCTCTCTTAGAGAAGCCTTAGATTGGGCATAACTATCATAACACTTAGGATTTTTTTCGCAAATTTGGCCAACCTAAGCTCATATGAGTACTTCGCCTGCCGCTGAAACTTAATAGCCGTGTTTCGACACCTTTTGTATTGCAGCGAAAGTTGGAAGCTCCAAGTTTCTTGGTATTTTTTCTACTGAGCACTGCGCCTCTTTATCGCTCTGTCAATCTTTCTCCACCATCGGGGTTTCCCAAGAAGTCTCCTGGGGCGTAGTAGAGCAAATTCGTTCAGTAACTGCACGAGCCAACTTTTGACTTGAATCCACCTCTGTTGTAAAGTGGCCTGATCCTGTTTAGGGATCCAAGTGATTTGAAGAGCTCGATTTCGCAGGTTCCTAAATTCAATACGATTTAAATCCCTTCCCATTCGACGGTTCTCTATAAGCCTCGGGGTGTTCAGCGTAAAGGTCAAAATGCAATGACCACTCTTACCTATGAGTGACTCTACGCGTAGGTCAATCAAGTGACCATGTCTGGCGATCACGAAATCAAGGGTTGAACGCGTACTTCCAGTACGACTCCTGGTCGGAACATTGATCTATTGCTCGAACGCATATCCGTGCATCCAATCCACCAATTCCTTCTCCAGAGTATCCCCGCCCTATTTACAGCAAGCTGCCAATCAGCATGGGGACGGTTTAGGTCACCAGTGATCAAAAAGTTATATGCGGCCATTGCCGTCTGTCTTAGTAACATACCAAGGTCCTTGTTCACTTCTTGTGGGGAGGATAGGCTACGATAAACATACTATAATCTCCAATCTACCCCATGCTCTTAGATAGCAGGATATCACCTGAACGTTAGCAGAACTCATGGTAGACGGAGCCTCCCAGTGTTTATGTTGGCACTTTATAAGCAAGTGGACTCCTCCACCAGTCTGATATCTAGGCCTATCAGCTCTGTATCATGCGAAGTCTATAAGCTGATCACTAATAAGGTCGTCTGGAGGAAGCGAGGACTCCGACACAGCGGTCACATCAACATGCTCACAACGCTTCACTAACTCTCCCCATTTGTTACGCACACTACAGCAATTAATATACCCCACGCTTCGTCTCTCCGCACGCGGTTGTTTCCCTCGGGCTCTAGCCCCGAGGGGACAACCCATTTTGTACCATTTCATTTCCATCAGTTGTCTGAGTCGATTAATCAACTCTGGGCTGCTGTAAAGCATTACGGGATAATACCTTTGTTGGCTTCGCCCGCCTGGGATTGCTGGATAAACTCCCGATGTATTTTCTCCCATTTTACTGAGTCGGCCTAACAACACTGCACTTCGGGTTTCCTGTACGGTCCAGTTTAAGTGCGGTAGGTTTTTCCTTTTTCCTACCATTTTATGAAATGCTCATACCAATCATGGACTTAAGTGCCACTGCTATCGAGCGTGAGGCCTTGATTGTTTTTGAACACATCGTCTAAAGTTTCATCGCCGCATCTTCACTACCCTCTCCCGCCATAGATATGTGATTCGCATTTTTTCATCAAGAGCAACTTTCTCCACAACCAAATGCAGGCCACTGGCGTCTTGCGTCTTTGTTGGCGAAGCATACCTGTTTCTCTCCAGCTGCCAACACGTACTCTTTTGTTACCGATGTATAACGGTATTCCAGCTATGTGAAGGATATCGTGCACTCGCCTTCTATCTAGGTCCCGTCGAGTTTTAGCTCCCCGTATGACGGCTCCTCCCTTTTGTAGACAAGAACGTTTCGTCTACCCATAGCGTTCTGCACTTCGCAAGCAACACTCCACTGAAGACTGCAACTCATCGACTTTTGAACTCAATGTCCCAATTAGCATGCTCTGATCACGAATTTAACTTTTCCGCGATGTCTAGTCTATGCACACGGTTCCTACCAGCAGAATAATCTACAGCTGAGACATGAATACCTGGATCAAAAGTCCGCTCGTTTATCAAGCAACAACAAGTGTCAGCTAAGCACACACAGTGGAAGCAAATTCACTTGAATTGGGGATGTTGGGCATAAAGATCAATAGAGTCCTGGTCTAATCTAGAGCGATTGTTATGGTACCATAACAAACATCTGTCACACTGAATTCCCTCTTTGACCTCAACGCCACAAGTGTGCTCACCACATTTATAGTCAGCCACCGATGTCATTGCGAAGAGTACGTCACGGTCACGGATGAAATAATAAACAACTAGGTAGTTTGGTAGGATTAAATGACGAAATTGATGCAGGTATGACGGCGTAAGATGAGTAAATAGTCACAACAGATTAATACAATACAATATATAATATTAAATACCACAGTAAACAGTGAATTACTACTACCAAAAGGAACACAAAGAGAAGCAATACTGGAACGAACTCGCGCGGTTAACGAAGATCCAAGATAGCTTGAATCAATAATTGATGGAACAGTGTTAAG